GAGGAGCACAGCAACTCCGGACAGGTCACCAAGCCACAGTAAATCTGGCCTTCCTAGGGGGGAAAGAAGGAAAAAAAAAGCATCATCAGCATTATAGAGATGTGGAGAGGGCTGTATGTCCCCCGTGTTGGGGTGCTAGCACTTCAATTTCAGATCTAGCAACATATAGTTCATCCTCAGATATCACTGATCACCCAGCGACTGACAAAAGCTGAAAATCTGCCCCTGCCGTGCTCTCCATCCTGTGAAATACAGCGTGGTGGATGGTGTCTTCTCCCAGCATGGCTGGGCCATGGACTGTCAGTCCACGTGCTCAAAGGTGGAGTGGTCTTCCCCAAAAAAGGGGCATCATTAATGCTACCGGATCTGAAAGAGCCACCACACACCTGCAAACTCTGCGTAACACCCACCAATCCCAAGTGGCAAAAGAACCTTTTTTCTGACATCTCCCAGGACAAGGACCTGGTGGAAAGGGGAGGTGTGATGCTGAATCCAGAGCCAGGTCCATGCTTCAGCTCTGCCCTCCCTCTGTGTTGGGGTGTTCGGGAACACCAGACTCAAGCACACAGACAGTGGGTTGGGAGCTGTGGATGGACATTCCGGTGTTGACCTTCTTCCACTGGTTAGGTGGATAGTTTGGAAAATATCATTGACGTACTGATTCGAGCTGCACACCGCGAGACGAGGCCAGTCTTGACCTCGGTGCATCCCAGTCCCACTTCAGGCAATGGATGTGCGCTCGCTTACTGCAGGGCTAAGATTTGGCTGCTTTGCAGAAGGGTGAGAAAGGATGTTCAGCAGTGCAGCAGCAGCCAGACCTCAACAGCAAGGTCCTCTTCGTGGAGCAGTTTTCTCTGGGCTATCCAGACACGGTTGGAACGAGTCCAGAGGAGGGCCCGGAGATGCTCAGAGTGCTGGAGCCCCTCTGCCATAGGGACAGGCTGGGAGAGTTGGGGGGTTCAGCCTGGAGAAAGGAAGGCTCCGGGGAGACCTCAGAGCCCCTTCCAGTGCCTGGGGGGACTACAAGAAAGCTGGGGGGACTTTTTCCAAGGGCAGGGAGTGACAGGACAAGGGGGGATGGGTTTAAACGGGAAGAGGGAGATGGAGATGGGACATCAGGAACGAATGCCTCCCACAGAGGGTGGGAGCACTGGGACAGGTTGCCCAGAGAAGCTGTGGATGCCCCATCCCTGGAAGTGTCCAAGGCCAGGCTGGATGAGGCTTGGAGCAACCTGGTCTAGTGGAAGGTGCCCCTGCCCATGGCAGGGGGTTGGAACTAGATGATCTTTAAGGTCCCTTCCCACCCAAACCATTCCATGATTCTCTGATCCCCAATCTCTCAATCAATCAAAACCAAGAGGTTAACCAAGGATTTCCCTAGCAAACCAAACCACAGCAGCATCATCTACCATCAGGAAGCCAAGACGCTGTGCAGGGGACATGAAGAGGGGGAAGAAAGTTTGGTAAATAAGAGGATCTGGTGCAGGTCACTGCAAACCAAACCCTGGTCTCTGCTTCAGGGACTTCTGTGGGATCCAGATCTGCAGGGAACAGGGTTTGGCCATGCAGGCTTATCCTTTCTCCTGACCAGCAGCTCAGGGCAAAGACCTGCCTCGGATGGGAAAGAACAAGTGTCATAAAAAGCAGGATTTATCCTGGAGGCTCTGGTCTCGGGGCAGTTTTCAAAGAGGTTTAGACCAGCTGTTCACGCAGCTGTTCTAGCAGCTGACAACATCAGACACAGCCCGTCCAGACCCCGCCGCTGCAAGGCTCCACAGCCATCCTTTTATTTTCCCCTTCGTATCCAAGGCATTATCCTGCCGAATAAACAGAGGCTGAGTGAGAGCCAGTGCCTCCGAGAAGGACACGCAGCTCTCCAAGCTCCTGTGGACGGTGGCAGGTGGGGTGGGAAAGCAGGGCCAGATGGGAACGTATTCGGGTTCGAGGGCTCCTTCCTGGCATTTTTCTCCAGCTTGGTGGGCTGACATCCAGTTGGGGTCCATAAGAGAGGAACCAGCCTCAAAAGCTGCATAATTTCGACATCTAAGCTATTCCTCTTGCCACCTTACTCCAAGACACCCAGTTCCAAGGCGTGCACAAGCACCAACGGTTTGGACTACTTATCCTGGTATCACGGATACTTTACTACCAAGCATCAGCTGGTGGTAACCACCGCGTGCATGCTCTTGGCATGAGAGAAGAAGGTGGTTTGGGTGCTCTCACACCTTTTTATTTCCTGTCCGAGCTTAGTCTAATTATTAGGTGCAAGCAAAGCAGAGACCAGTGGAGATTGGTCCCATCCAAGGATTCTGTACAATGGGCAGTGAAAGCCAAGCCAAGTTTGAAACCCTCTTCTTTTTTTATGGAAGAGGGTGCAAGCAGTTCCCTGCATCATCCAAGTCCAGAGTTGGCACTTTCTATCCCCTTTCCTCATGCCCTTTCGAGGAGGAGGAGGAGCTGCTCCATTTATCTCCCAATACTCAGCTCCAGGCACGCACAGCCCCACACTCCACACACCTTCCCCATCGCCGCTGCCTCGCGTCTCCCAAGCAAAGCATCAGGACTTGGTTTTATGGGTTTTTTGCAGAATCCCAGGCTGTTGGAGAGGGCTGGGCAGAGCACAGCCAAGCTCTGTCTCAGGGCATTGCTGGAGGCTCAGGGAGGAGGAACGTCCCTCTGGCAGATGGGTGGAGAATGGGTAATCCATCATTACTGAGGATGACAGTGTCCTGGCCACCGCTGCAGCCCTCAGATAGGGAAACCAAGACCATCAAGGAAGACAGGCATGCAATGGCCCTGCAAAGGTCATTGCAACTCAGCGTGAAAGGCAGCGGCTCCACATGCAACGATCCAGAGGGCTCATGATCACAATGCAGGAGTTTCCAGATGAGAGCAGCTCCTGGTGTTCCAGCACACCTCAGCCCTGGGTTCAGCTACCACTTAAATCCAAGCCGGCAGGATGAAGATCACTAGGTGCCTGCCCGTTGCCATCTCTGGCTGCTAGGCTCTGCTGCCCCTGTCCTTCTGCTGTCATCTGGGGTGAGCTCCAGCCATGCAGGGCAGGAGCTGGAGCTGGAAGTATCACGAGACCCAGGCACCCAGCAGTGCTTCGGAGCCACCAAATCCGTTCTGGAGCTCAGCTCAATCCCACCACCCGTTGGTGTGCTCAGTGGGGACAGGGCTGTCCCCCCACTCACCCCAAGAAGCCCCCACGGGGTCCACCCAGAATATAACCAACTCTTGGAGGAGCTTGCTCAAGCTGTTCCCACTGCAGAGGGAATGCAGGGAAGTGCTTTCTGCTCCAACCCCAGGGCCCAGCAGACATTTGCAGCACACCCTGCTTGGGGTTAAGGTCACCTAACGCACCCAGGCAGAGGGGGAAGCACCCAGCTCTGCAGTGGTCCTTAGTTGCTGGGCAGGGAGGACCCAACACCATTTCAAAGCTCAATCTCCTGCACTGATAACCTGGTCCTGATGATAAAGCATCCCACCATGGGCTGGTACCACCTGATGGTCCTCATGAGGTTTTGACCTGGTGGGACATTGCTGGGGTGCAGGAGCACGCCCTGAACCCTCCCCACCTCCCGCGGGCTCGCAGGTAGCTTACGGAGCAGCTGCACTGCACACACTGGTTTGGCTGGCGGCTGGGAAAGAGCTCGCTGGTGGTGAACATCTCGCCTTGCTGGTACGTCGTCCCGTTGTACTGGCACGACTTGATGGGTGCCCGGAGGCCAGAAGGGGAATGTGGCTCTGGAAAAGGAGGTGAGAAAGCAGCAGGATGAGGGTCAGCCCTTGCCTGGCCCCAATGTATCATGGATGCTCAGCAGATTACCCACGAGTCGAAGCCAAAAGGCCGAGGAGACGTTTACAAACCACAGTTATCACGGAGAAGCAGCCGGGGCATTGCCTGGGCTTTGGGGATTTATGTGTCCAAAAGCTTTTGGAGAATGGGGCTGCCCTGACTACACTGAGCTCAGCACAAAGATAAAACTGGAAGCCTGACCTCCTGGGGTCTTGTATCTGCTTGTGCCAGAGTGGTGGCAAAGCTAGCCCAAAACCATCGATGATTTGGGAAACCAGGGAAAAAAAATTAGAAACAAAAAGTATTTTTAATTTTTAGCTAATTACCCATGGGAGAAGCCCTTTTTATCTGACTCCATCTGATGCTGGATGTCATCACATCCAATGCAGGAGGGAAAAAATCATTAATTTTATTAAAGATGATTTTTTTTTTTTTTTCCCTATATCCAACACACATTGCTGGCAAATGATCTGAGTAAAGTGCCAGTTTCTGGTTCGTCACTGAACTGTGAACTGACATTTTGTCCCTGTGAGGCTTCCTGGGATGGAGAGGGAGTTGAAGAAAGTGGTCTGGTAGACAGCTCTTTTCCATCAAAAGGACATTTTTGTTGGGGAAAAAGCAATGTGAGCAGCCTGAGCCACCATTGCTGCCGTGACCCCATGAGCAAGGCCTGCAGGATCACGGCCACCTTGTCACCATCCCCCTGTGGGATGCCCACCTACCGAGACACCGCGGACAGCACTGCTGCGGGTCCGTGACAGGGCTGGCACACTGCAGAGCTGGGCACTGGATCCGGTAACACCTGATGTTGGCATTCTGGGGAAAGAGAAAGAGAAAGATGATCCACTCGCCTACATGTTCACCCCCTGCAAGAGGAGGAAAATACTGGATGACAGTCCCATTATCGTGAGAGATTGTGTTGGTGTAGCTCACCCAGTCAAGGATGTTCCTGGGTTGGAGCCCAGTGTCAGCCAGCTCATGGTCATAGAATCACAGAACCATGGAATTGTTTGGGTTGGAAGGGACCTTAAAGACCACCCATCCCCACACCCTGCCATGGGCAGAGACCCCTTCCACTAGGCTAGGGTGCTCCAAGCCTCATCCAGCCTGGCCTTGGACACTTCCAGGGATGGGGCATCCACAGCTTCTCTGGGAAACCTGTCCCAGTGCCTCCCCACCCTCTCCATGATGATGAAACATGACCATAAGAGAAAGACCACCCATGGTCCCACAGCAGCCCTGAACCACCCCCACCCACAGCCCACCAACGCTACTGAGACAGCTCCCTCATAAAGTCAACCCCACACCCCCAGGAGACATGGGGCTCTTTCAAAAGGAAAGAGATTAATCCAACATCCTTACAGGACTGGAAAGGGCTTCTCTGGCCAAACCAGACACCAAAAACAACCTGCTTAAAAGCTGCCAAAGCGATGCCCCGGTGCAGGAGCATCCCCACCACCTCCCACGGCACCGTGCAGGGGGACGTGCCTCTGAGCAGCTGCAGCGGATGCAGTACATCAGCCCCTGCGGCTCCAGGTAGGGGTGCCAGCTCTCGCCTGGGCTGTACTTCTTGCCGTTGAAGTCGCAGAACACATCCGGCCCTGAAAGTCAACCAGGAGAAGCTATGTGAGAGAAAGGGATGGTCCTTGGGACAGCTCTCCTCCCACTGTGATTAAGAGCAAAGGCAGCTTTGTGCCTTTGTGCTGTCCCCCACGAGGAGCTGATGGCCACATCCACAAGCCCCCAGATGAATACATTTGCCAAAAGCCTTTTATTTGGCCATGATTTTGGTTTTTAGGCTGGGACCCACGTGATCAAATGGCAGCTCCTCTGAGCAAGCTGGACTCCCTTTGCAAGCAAGGAACAGAATGGGTGGTTTTGGGGCAAAAATTCGAGTTGTCACTCTAAAACAGGTCAGTAGAAGTGTTCATTGGAAGATGGACAGGTGATTTCAGGGTGATGCTATGGGACTGAAATTCCCCAAAGAAGGCCAGAAAGGCTGGAAGGCTGGGAGTGGTGGGGGAGATAGGAGAGCCTGAATTTAGGAAACATTTTCACTGTTCCCTGAAAAAAAAAAAAGAAAAAAACCCAAGACATTCTGCTGTAGAAACACATTCTGAAGGAAAACCTTTGCTCCCCTTAGGAGCTCCAGCTCAGTCTCTCAAGGACCACTGGACAAGCTCTGTCAGCACACGGACAGTCACGCATCAGCCCTACAGAGCAAGGACCAGTCTGGCTTGCCCCATCCCACCAGCCCCTTGGCTTCTACTGGGGTTGACACGGCACTGGTCTGGCTGGAGTAGGTGGAACCATGTTCTTCATTTATGGGGTTGTCCATGGGGACACCAAGTCCACCTCACCCACTTTTTTCCCCCAACAGCACAAAAACATGTCTTTTTCTATTCCTCCCTGATCCTATCATCCCAAGAAGAGTGATTTTCCAGCCATGCTCCTGAAGCAGAGGTGTCCGTCCCAGAAACAATCCAGCCCTGCCTACACGGGGATAGGTTTAACCTTGCCATGGCACAGAAAGATGAGAAGGTGTCCAGTATGACTGGTGAAGGAGACCCCCTTTGGAGACCCAACCTCTCCCTAGATTATAGCAGGTCCCCATTCACACCCTCCATCTCTAAGCCCTTGTTCCATGCCAACCCTTTGGCAGGAAAAGTCCAGCCTGCAGAAGGACCTGTGGGACAAGCCGTGGCCATAATCACCATCAAAACCCACAGGGCTTTGGCCAGAAAGCCCAATTCAGTCATCCTTCATGTTCACATCAAAAAGCATCACCTGGACCTGCAGGACCAAGCTCCAAACTCGGTTGAACCTGCAGGAACCTGGACCCTGCAACGCCCAGCACAGCCCGGCGACTGCTCCCGCTCTCCCATGGCATGTCCCCACGCTCCGACCAGCCCGAGGGCTGTGACAGGGCTTAACTCCTTCCATGAATAAGCACACGCCTGCCTCTGTGTGTTATTAGTGGTTTCAGAGCTTACAGCCCCACTAAAAACTGAAGGTGATCTAAAAGGTTATGTCATCGAGAGGATTTGAGGTAGTTTGGGTGATTACGTTGCTCAAAGGCAACAGAGACATTTATGCTCCCTGAAGCATTTATGGGTCTTTTAAAACCTTGCAGCACCCTGGGGATGTGGGGAGAGGGGAGACAACTGTTTTCTGAGGCATGGTGCCCAGCTCCTGGTGTGTGAAGTCAAGCAAGCTAGCGGAAAGATGAGAAGGTGAAGGAGAAGGAGAAGGAGAAGGAGGAGAAGGTGAGGGTGAAGGTGAAGGTGAAGGTGAAGGTGAAGGTGAAGGTGAAGGAAAAGGAGAAGGAGAAGGAGAAGGAGATAATAGACAAAACAAGTGATGGACAATGCAATTGCTCACCACCTGCCAAATGATGCCCAGGCAGTCACGGAGCAGTGACCCCTCCTGCCCAAATTCCCCCAGTTTGAAGTATATCTCCAATATACTCAGCATGATGTCATATGGTATGGAATATCCCTTTGGCTAGGTGGGGTCACTGACCCCAACACTCACTGGAAGGGCACAAGAATCGTAAAAGTCCTTGACTAGTGTAAGCGCCACTTAGCAACAATTAAAGCAGCAGTGTGATAACATTATTCTTGCACGAAATCCAAAGGACAGCACTAAACCAGCTACTAGGAAGAAAATTAACTCTATCCCAGCCAAAACCAGGACACTCGGGATGAGCCCAAGTGATGCTCTACCATGGCTGGTCCCTGTGGCCATCGAGAAGGGCAGCCTTATTGATCTATGCTGATCTTTATGGGTCCCTCCCAACGCAAGCCATACAGGTCTGCCAGCAGCCCTGAGCTCCTCATCAAGTTGACAGTTTCAAGCAGATGATTCTCCAAGTTGTTTCTTCAAAGGAGGCAGCCACCAGCTCTCCAGGCCACCTGGCTCAAGCACTGGGGCCAGTGTTGCATCTGCAGGGGGGCAGATTTGCAGTAATTTTGGAGTGGGTGCCATCAGAGGGATAGGCAGAGGCATTTTTCTTCCTTCTCCCTACTGAAGTATTTACATTATCCCCACAGTTTGTTCCAAATCTCTTGACAAGCCCGCAAACCCATATTCCTGGCCATGCACGGCACGAGTTTGCAGCAAATCATGCAAGAATGGGGAGCACGTGGCTGGAAACGGCAGAAACCCAGAAGAGGAGGGGATGATGGGGGGAAATAATCCACAAAACTAAAAAAAAAATATTCACTTTTGCAAAAGAGTGAGAAAATGACTTCATTTTTCCCTGCTCGCAGCATCTTCATGAATTACGCTGCGGGGTGAAGAAATCAAGTTGCCTTCATGTGACGCGGCCCCGCTCAGCTTGCAGGCTCCCATGCCAGTTGGCTGCTTCCTTCAAACATTTAATCACAAGTGGAGCCCTGGTTTGGGTCCAGCCCTCGAAAGCAGCCTGATTCATGTCTGCAACGGGCCCGCTGGTAAAACTAAAGCCGACTGGCAGCGCTGGGCAGCCACAGACACTCGTTCGCATCTCAGTAGCACTATGCCGCGTATTTGGCAAGAGGCGCCGGCGTGTTTGGTTAAAGGCAAGCTGGGGATGGATGGAAGGAGGAGGCTTAAAAGCAGGAGGCTCTGGATCATTTTTTCCCATGCCAGGCTAATAATTTCAGTTTTAGAGGTCAAACTTTGGATATCTTCCCAATTCACTTGGAGTGAAAAGCCATTTGTGGCAGTAAATTGCTCCCGTGCCGTTCAGTCTCCTTATTTATTGCATCTTCAGGCACAGCACGCTCACAAAAGTCACATTGTTTTACTTTTCATTTCCCAGAGAGGGCTCCTGAGCTGCAGAATGTTTTCAAGGCTGCAGTACCAAAAGTCCAGATGAAACCATCAGCTTGTTTTCCTTCACGGGGACCACGTGTTCCTTGGTCAGGAGAAGACAGCGGGTCAGCCTGGTCCACGCCACCTTGGAGACCCAAACGGAGCTTGCCAATTGCAAGCCAGAGGCCCACCCAACAGCCATTCTCTGCCATGGTTCCAGTGTTTTCTTGGATGAGAACCACCTGGTTACGTCCAAATCACTGAATACCCCAGGCCAGGGTCTGGGACTAGTGGTCTGGCCCACTTATGCTTACGTCCATACCCACCTTCTGGAACCACCTTGGCCCAGCTGTCCCCAGGCATTTGGTAAATCCCAAGTTGGCATTGGCCAACACTATGCTGGGGAGTGCACCTGCAGCAAGAGCCTGGACCCCCCCAATCAATGCTCAAGGCTGTGCCCAGGCCCTGATCAATGATTATCATGAATTAATTATCAAAGAATCACAGAACCGTTTGGGTTGGAAAAGGTGTTAAAGCCCATCCAGTCCCACCCCCTGCCATGGGCAGGGATACCTTCCACTAGACCAGGTTGCTCCAAGCCTCATCCAGCCTGGCCTTGGACACTTCCAGGAATGGGGCATCCACAGCTTCTCTGGGCATTAATTATCATTAATTGCATCCTGGATGGCAAGAAGGGTATGTAACATGGGGCAGAAAGTACAAAGGGGAGGATGAAGCAAAAGAGTGCTTTTACAAAGAAAAGGGTGATCTATGGCCATGGCAAAGTCAAGAAGAAGCAATCTTGGGGCAAAGCCTGAAAGATTTAGGACAGGTATTGTGGGAATCCTTCCAGCTACCAGGAGATTTAAATCCCAGAATGCTCTGAGACACTTTACGAACCTTCTGGAGCAGCATCATCATGGTCTAGCGACACCACGGTGACAAACCCCTCCTGCACTGCCTTTGGTGACTGCTGACATCTCTCTCACACCATGAGAATGGCCCAGATGCCTCTTTGGGATGTACCTCAACAGCTTCACACACCAACCACCAACGAGATGCCATCCCACATCTTCATAACCTGCTCTAGATCCAGTGAGAGACCACGAACACAGGGGAGATGGGCAAGACTCCACAGCTTCCTTGCTGAGCCATCAATCTGGCCAATATTGGTCAAACCACCTCAAGACATCTCTTAGCCTCGGACACAATGTCCCCTTGGGTCAGCACATCCATGAGTCCTGTCCCACCTGCTGACACAGCCCGTTAGAGCCAGATCCTTGTGCCCCTCCACATTTGCAGCAGGCTGTGAAGACAAGGACATCCCCATGGGTTTTCCAACAGGATGCGACTCATCCCTCTGCCTGGACACTTTGATCATGGTTGATCCAGGGGCCAAAACAGGTCAGATGTTCTCCTGCACCGATCCCGAGCACGGCAGCAGGAACCAAGGTGAGCTACTAAACTTGCATGCGTGATAGTTACTGAAATACCATGGTCTGCTGCCAAATCCTCCGTTGGCTCAGGCTCAGCCCCGCTCCCTTCACCTCCCTCTGGATGGAGGGACCGATGCTCAACAAAGTCAAGCCAAATACACACACGTGGGTGCAAGATCCTGCCCCTACATCCCCCCACTCCCATGTTGGGGTTTCCCAGACCTGAGCAGAGCATCCCAATGGGTCATAGGAGTTTTAAAGATGCTTTTACATCACTGCTCCATCAGCCCGGGGAAAGGCTCCCATTCACACCCCCAGGTCCCTGCACATGTGGGATCACTGCACATCCATCCTGATTCCCACTGGACCTCCTCGATGCTGCAGGACACTGAGGAGTCCCCAGAAGCAAGTCCCTGCTGCACTTAAAGCCTTGACCCATGGCTAGAGAGGGAAGTAATGCTTTCCTAAAGTGTGGAAAGCCCTGTGCCTCAGTTTCCCTAACAGGGATGCACTCCAAACTGGCTCCAACAAGGTCTCATCCCACTTCTCCCTCGTTTCCTCTCCTGGCACAGGGCTTTCTCCCACCTCTGCATCCCCGAGCTGTCTCCCCCCACAGCTCTCCCATGAGCAGGGCACGTCTGAGCCAGGCTCCCTGCCCCGACAGCTTTTTTGGAGGTCACACACCTGCCAGCCAGCCAGCGCCAGGCACGCGGGGGGGTGTTTATGCAAACCAGTTTGCGAGTTTTAAGAGCGGCCATAAATAAAGTGTAAAAAGCACTGTCTGGTACAAAAAGTCCGGGCGCTCCTATGACAGCCCTGTATTTATGAAGGGCTTAAAATGCAACTTAGCTGCACAGGGACTGGTTAAAACACACCGAGCCCTTGGCATGTGGCATCCTAATGACTCTGCTCCCATCCTCATCGCTTCCCACACACTCACCTCGGTCCTGGGCTGGGAATTTCTTCTCAGGAATTTGGGAGCCTGGAAAACACTACAGCTCTGGAAATGCAGCCTCCATGAAGCACCCCCGAGCTCCCCAGGGTAGTGGAGCCAAGCGAAGTCCTGCACCCGGAGCATCCCCATGGGATCTGAGAGCAGCAGATC